ATATACCTCCATATGCAAAATTAAAGTATTTGTTATAGAATATGCAAATAGAACTTCAGAAGTTCTTTTTCCACCATTGTAACAAGCTCTAGGTTTTAAGACAGGTCATCAAAAGGCAGGAAATTCACTGACAAATGTGACAGATGCAGCAATCTCTGAAATAATTAAATTTGTTTTAATGCCCTATACATTGAACAAGGCTGTTTCATACTGTAATCCAGCCTTAATTTTACCTTCTTGCCAAATTGCCAGACAAAATCATTGTTGGGGTGAGTACTTTGTGTCTGCAATGGATCTGTCAGTACACAGAGAATCATGATCCTTTCCCAGAAACATTTCCAACTTCAGAGATTTACTAATTTATTTGCAGACTATCAAGCTATCTGAATCTTTAGGATTCTCAGCTGACATAGAAAGAGACAGCAGGGAGAATTCTCACATGGAGAAAACCACGGTACCTTAATGAGAAGTCAACAAAACCAGTCAACTTCATGAGAAGTCAACAAAACCAGGCCAGCTTAAGTTTGTACCAGATGGGCTTCCAGCACTCTGATATTCACATCATCACTGGAAACTCAGTTCCTGGAGCCAAATTTATTTCTGTCTGCACTTGGTTAAAAGTTAAAAACCAGCTTTACAATTCTTGCACTTCTTGTGGAATTAGTTATTAACATGGAATCTGCTGTCAGCAAGGACTTTAAGCTGAGTAAAACCGCTTCAAACAGAGCAGATCACAGAGACTGCCAAATAATATCTGATGACATTTACGATAATTAACATAAAATGGCACTGCAATAACCCACACTGAAAACCACAGGCAGAGACTAGATCTGTGCTCTTAGAACTCAGAAGACAGGGAAAGTTCAGTCTCCAGCAAGGCAGTGAAGACTCTTCCTAGCACCTTAAACAAATGAAGCTTGAGGTTCTCTGCTGCTGTGTGGAAACAGGCACTTACTGAAAACATATCTTTAGTTGCACTCAGCAATGTCTTCATCCTCACCGTTGTCTCAGGCTTCAGCTTTCCCAGCCTCTCCACTTTTCTTCCTTTACATTAAATGCACACTATGTTTCTAATTAATGCAGCCAGCAAATCTTGACAACTTTCATTCCTTTACATGCATTATTTCTTTGTCTAGGTCATCCTCTGTCCCACTTTCTCCTTTCTCAGATCAGATGTGGCAATCTGGTAAAGCTCCCACTGACTGGAAAAGGAGTACCCCCTCCCATCTTTTAAAGAGGAAAATAATGAAGACCCAGGGGCACTACAGGCTCAGTCACATCCTCTGTGCCTGGCAAGATCATGGAGCAAGTCTCCCTGGAAAGGCGCATGGAAAGTAAGGAAGTGATTTGCAGCAACCAGCATGGCTTCCCTGGCAGATTTGAGGGCCTTCCATGATGGGTGAGGGCATTGGTGGATGAGGGAAGAGTAACTGATGTCATCTACCTGGCCTTGTACAAACAAAGCACGTGACACTGTCCCACACAACATCCTTAAAACATCCCACAAAGTGGAGAGGCCCAGACCACACCACAGTGGAGAAGGATTTGGCTGGATGGTCACCCTCAGTGCAGTCACTGCCGATGTCCCAGTGGGGACCAGCAGCGAGTGCCATTCCTCAGGGGCTTGGGCTGGGACGGGGGCAGTTTAACACTTTTGTTGACTGCATGGACAGCGGGACTGAGCTCACCCTCAGTGAGTTTGCCCACAACACCAAGCTGTGGGGTGCAGCCAACATGCCGGAGGGAAGGGACGCCATCCAGAGGGACCTGGACAGGCCTGAGGGCTGGGCCTGCACAGACCTCCTGAAGTTCAACAAGGACAAGCACAAGGTCCTACACCTGGACCAGGGCAATCCCAAGAGCAAACACAGGCTGGGTGGAGAATAAATCTATAGCAGGCCTGAGGAGAAAGACTTGGGGGTGTTGGTGGATGAGAAACAAAATCCCCTTGCAGCCCAGAAAGTCAAACACATCCTTTTGCACACAGCCAGGATGTGCTTGGCTTTCTGGGCTGCATCCAAAGCAGTGTGGCCAACAGGGCAAGCAAGGTGATTTTCCCCCTTTGCCCTGCTCTGGTGAGACCCCACCTGCAGTCCTCTGCCCAGATCTGGAGCCCACTACATAAGAAGGATGTGAACCTGACGGCGAGAACCCAGAGGAGGGCCACCAAGATGATCAGAGGACTGGCGCACCTGGACTATAAAGGCAGACTGAGAAGAGTTGGGGTTGTTCAGCCTGGAGAAGGTAAGGCTCCAGGGAGACTTGAGAGCAGCGTTCCTAATGGCACCCTGCTGGAGAGCTGGGTCCCTCACAAGGGAAGGTAGTAACAGGACAAGGGGGAATGGCTTTAAACTGAAAGAAGGTAGGTTTAGGTTAGACATGAGGAATACATTCTGTTCTGTGAGGGTGGTGAGACCCTGGAACAGGTTGCCCAGAGAAGCCGTGGATCTCCCATCCCTTGAAGCGTTCAAGGCCTGGCTGGATGGGACTTCGAGCAACTTGATCTAGGGAAAGATGTCCCTGCCTATGACAGGAGGGTTGGAAACAGATTATCAAGGTCCCTTCCAACCCAAATAAATCTAGATTCCTAAGAATTGTATGTCATGGGATCCTGGCTCTCAATATATAACTTGGAGAAAAGTCTGCTGTGATTACTCATCACTCCTTCTGGAAAACTTCTGTTTTCTGTGTTGACCTTCTACAGACTTCTCATATCTCACTTCCCAAATTCTGCTGCCCACAACTAGAAAGTTGCTTCTAAAGTATCTTAATGACATCTTAAATAATTCTTCCTTACCTAAAGAATATAGCTGTCTAATTTCTGGCTCTGAATTAATTTATAGTAAAGATCTTCCATGATGACAACTTGAAGTGAGACTTTTCCTTGTTTAGAAAAGAGTTTTCTCTCTTCCAAAATCTCCTCAATCCCATTGCATCTTTTATTTTTTTGGGTTTATACAGCAATCTTGTATGCAGTACACTACAAGTCTGCACATTTTCTACATCTTAATATCCTCTTGTCTTTGCATCAGATTTGAGCACCACTTCTTTTACATTTGAGGCCTGACACTGCTTACACATTGCCTATTTCTCTCTCCAGTCTTCTTATCTTTACTTACATAAATATATCTTCTTCCTCTCCGTGCCCTTGTCTAAAACACAGTGATGTTTCTGTTCACATGCATTACTAATTCCAAAGTAAATGGTACATTCTCAGAAAATAAACCAGTGTTACTGTGAATAGCACATTGAAAACCTCAAAACAATCAAGAGGAATGTCAAAATCCTATACTGAATGTTAAAAATCAAGTGCATAAAAATACACAGAACACCCTCCCACAAAAAGCAGTAGTCAATGAGATGTTCCTGGGACCGAGCTCATCCATCTGAATTTGTGTTTGGCATTATTTTCTTTATATGATCGTTATCAGTCTTTCTTTTACTTATTTAAATAAGACTTTAATTCACACTCCTCTCTTCCAGTGAACATCAATGCAGACCATTTTGGAACACCAGTCTGATCAAACAAAACCAGAACACCAGACTGCAGTCATCAGAACGGTTTAAACACGATGCGCAGTTCAAGTGCCTGAGCAGTTCATTTCCTGCCAATTTTAATCTGTTTTCTGTCTTTTCCTCTTATGTCTCTGTCCTCACTGCTAATTATTCTGACTTGTAGCTTTAATAGCTGAGGCCTTTTCTCTAGCACTGACCACAGAATTGTGCTGAGGAAATGCTGTGGCTTAGGAAAGGAGAGGAACTCTCGGAGTTTAAAATTATTGTATCAGTGAGGAAACGGAGAAACTGATACAATATTATTTTAAAACAACCCACACAAGAGTATTCTGGAAAAAAACAACCCCCAACTTATTTTTCAGTGAAAGATGTGGGCAACATTCAATTTCTGGTGACAAGTACTTAACACAGACTTTTCAGTCTGAAAAAGCTTCACCCTTTATGCATGCCATCTTTTTATTCTCACCACACCCACAGGCTGGCAACTCTCTTTGCCATGAAGCACCTCCAGTTTTGCTGGTATAAAAGTTATGGCACTTGGTGAAAAAACATGTAAGAGGGAGGAACCTTATCAAACTTTGAAAACAAGTCTCTGTGCACAAATAGTGCTTCATTTCTTTACAGATTTTTTCTGTAAAAAAAAGTACCATAAAATTTCGCCAGATGTCACCCGGTGAAATTTCAGCACACAAATTTCTCCACTGGTGCTCAGTGGATAGCCCATCCTCTGGGATAACACATTTAAGCAGTGGAGGCAATGGACAAGCAACTTCACCTGGCAAAAGGAATGAGAATGTGTGAACGAAACAGCCCTACAGACACTAAGGTCAGAGAAGGAGGGGCAGGAGGTGTTCCAGGTGCTGGAGCAGTGATTCCCCTGCAGTCTTAGTGCAGAGATCCACCTGAAGCCCATGGAGGAGCCCCATACTGGAGCAGGTGGATGTCTGAGAGGAGGCTGTGACCCCATGGGAAGCCTGCACTAAATTAAGGGCACATGATCGTGAATTGTTTTTTTATTTTTGTTGTCCAGAGAAAAATGTGATTTCACCCATGCTAAAAGCAAACAAAAAAATTACTCAATATTTTGGCTTTTGTACAGATTTCTGCCCCCTTCAAATTAGATCAGTTTCTAAACAAAAACATAATTTAAATGTGCACTATCAGTGTTTTATTTTGAAAATATTTATGTTTCCTTGTTTCAATCCTCCAGAATGTGACATTCTGCCATGTTCCTGAAAGCTGTCCCATATTCACATTTTTTTTCAGATTCTGCAAAAAATTAGTTTTGGATTTGTAATATTTTAGCTGGCAGGGCGGGAGATGGAGTAAGGGCACACCTACAATTTATTTAAGAGTTCACAAGGTCTGAACTTAAAAGTTCACATGAAAAGTGTAGAATTCCATGCGCTAAGTAGGTACTTAAGAGAGAAAGAACTGAAAATGTCACTTACAGAGAAGATTTAAGACTGCTTTTTTTTTTTTTTTTGAGGAGGAGGAGGAGGGGGAGGACATGTGGAAGTATTTTCTTAGAGGTTGTGCCAAAGACGTGATAAAGAAGTAGCAGAAATAAAAGTAGTGAGAAACATGAAGTATCTCTCTAGTTTCCCAAGACTAAGGTTTCCTTTTTGATATTAAACTCAGCACTGAATAATCTCCTCTCTCTGAACTCTGCTGCAGGGTTCACTCATTGGCCTCCTGAGGAGAGCCAATGAACAGAAGGCAGAATTGCTCAGCCTGTTTCCTCAGTGTTTGCCTGGGTTCTCAGCACAGGAAGCTCTGAAAAGTGCTCTGAAAAGTAGAAGGAGGAACCGCTCCAGCTTTGAGGAGCCAGCCAGTCAGGAACATGCACAGCTAAAGGAGAGGCATGGGAAAGGGGGAGAGGAAACACTGACACTGGCTGCTGCGGATGTACTGGTAGGCAAGAAATGCTCCCCATGACCACAGTTAAGTTGGTGGAGCTGCCTGAGCCATGAAAGCAGGAACCAACATGAAGATTGCTGGGAAGACTGTGTATGTTTTTGTGCTGCTCACCATCACCATGGTCATGAGATTAGCAGGTGAGTCTAACTGGGACCAATTGGCCATTGGGATGTAAGAATGGGAAATGTGCACAGCTTCTTTATTTCTATAAATGCTATGAATAGTTCTGTGGCTTTAATTAAGTGCTAAAAATTATGAAGCACAATTAAGATATGCTTTCCCAATACTCACTCCTTCTCTTCTTGATGGTCACAAGGCTGCCAAGTATTTTTCCTGTGACTTCCATGTAGGCAACGATGTAGTGACCCTTAGCTGGGAACGGACAATTTGTCACAAATAGCCTTTTCAAACTAAGACCTCCAAATACACATCATCTGAGAAAATGAGCCGTTTGACACACTAAAAATATGCCTGGGAAAGTGTTTGGGAACTTGAAACTTTTGGAGGGTAGTTTCTGCTGAAGAGAGGCTGCAGGCACTTTGAAATAGGGCAGGGATCTCTTGGACCTTGCAGAGAAGTAGAAGGTCTCTGATGTGCTGAGAGAGGGGAGCAGCTTCTGGAATTTTGTTCTAAGGGGCATGGCCAGTATCAAGATGGGAAAGGCTTTTGTACCAAGGGCAATGGCAGTCCAAATTTTCTTTCTTTTAGTGTAGTTGACTTTGTTTTAATATAGTTTAACTACAGCAGTTAATGTTTCCTACATACTGCTCATTTGCATTTTCAGAGCTTGTGCTCACACCATACAGAAATCCAGGGATTTGATAATGGAACTAAGGATTTGAGGAGCAGTTCCAGAAACTTAAACTGTTTCTATATAGGAGGAGGAAGGCAGATAGGTCTTAGATGAGATCCAAATTCAACTTTGAACATCTTTGAATAATATGTAACATGCATGTGTCCATTATGGACAGATAGAACTAAACTACATGGACATGAGTTACTTCATTCTTATTAGTCAGAAAATAAAAATATCTCCTTTGTGATATTTTAAAGCAAATAGATGCAGTCACTGTTAGCAGTGATGGGACACCCATCTATAATGTGTTTGGCGTGATAATGAGGGGTTCTAAATGTTTACCTCAGTGCTACCCACTGGAAAAATTTAAATAGTTCATGAACATTATTAAACTTTGGATCATTATCCTCACAACAGGAACATTGGTGGTAAAAGATCTGTCCCTATTCTCCAGGTATTATCTCAAAAGAATACTGAGGAACCTGCTCAAGTTCATGCCGATTGATTATGATAGCATCAAAGACAGTCTATATTTTTGAAGACAGTTGCTCAAAAAGTAAAGGAGTGTGGATACACAACAGAATGTTGAAGAAGAAGTGGGGAGACAAAGGGGAATCCTACTGGCAAAATTTATTTTAAAAAATCCACTTTGCTGAAAATATTTTTTAAAACTCCAATGCCAAAAAGTCGGGAGTCCTCACCCTAAGGTATTTGGATTTTAACTTATTGGTGTCTTGGTTAACCAATTATATTGCCCTTCAAAGAATATAGAAAAAGATTTTCCATTGAAATCTAATTTCAGGCCTGAAACCTCTTTCCTCAACCTGCTCCCAGGAAACAGCAGCCTACATTTGATGGGAAGTTTTTAGCTAGCACTGCTCTTAAACTTGTTTTCTTCAGTATTAGGATGGGTGTTCTGAGCAAGATCTAGTGGCAAGGGTTTTTTTCCCTTCAGAGATCATAGGCTAAATGTATCAAGCTGATCTAATGTGCATATTCTGTCCAGATAATTTTAGTTTTCAGTGTTGCATGAAGCTCAAAAAGAACTATGTCCCCCCCTTCTGAAGAGTAGAGCAAGCTACTCTGAAAGAAATAAAGTAATGGAAAATTATTGTATGTAACCAGATTTTATATCCTTTAACATTTTCCTTAAGATTTCCTTAGCATGTTGTTTTGTGTGAATGGGTTAGTTTTTACCACAGCAGACGGGGCAGCTCAGAAAAAAGGCTGAGGTTGTTTCCTAATTGTCATACCTAGATCTGCCCTCAGGTAGAGTTGGATAATCAGCTACTGAAGCTGCTGGGGCATGATCTCTACTAAAAATCCTTTTGTGACAATCCTCAGTAACAGCAGTGAAAAAGATTCAACATTAAAATATTTTTGGTAATGCTCTGAAGATTTCTCTAGTTTTACTAAGCACACAGGACACCTCAAGTGGTTGTGTATACTCCAAGGGAGAGTGGTAAGGACAGGCAAGATCCTGACAGAGAAGTCCATGCAATAAATCTCTTTTTGTTGAAATAACATTTGCAGCACTTGACTGGGTATGTCCTGCCTCTGAAGTTTATCCTGTGTCAATGGATATGTCAAAGTGCTTCACAGGAAGCTGCAAGAAATCCATGATCAGTAATGAGATGTGATTCCCTATGGTTGTTCAGTTTCATCAGTAGTGGGAAACTGAAGTCGGTGACATTGTGCTGGAATAATAGACTATGAGGAGAATGAAAGTAAGGTTGATTTACAGAGCAACTGAGCTACAGTTATATATATAACTTCCTTGAATGCTACTGCTTTCGTTTAGTTTCTTTCCTTAATAAAATCAGTACATTCTTTTTCACTAGTGTACCAGTGTTTTATTGCCTTTTGATTCTGCCCTAGTATGTTTCATTGCATCTGTTTCTGTTGCCTTCTAGTCTAGTTTATGGTGAAATCTTGCTCCAAATACAAAAAATCATAGCCTAAGAAATTCTATTGTGGTAAAGTTACATTTGTCTCCATTTCACTATTTCTTTGTTTCTCCTTTGGGACTGTGTGCTGGAATTATTCTGACTTCTTTTCCCCTAAAAGCAGCTGAACCCAAGCAGCCTCTTTTTTTCATCCAAATTCTTTAAAAAGAATCCTATACCATTAAATAAAGGAAAAATTTTCTTAGGACATTTTCTCAGGATATTTTCTCATGTAAACTGCCATAGTACAATCCTCCAAACATATCCTTATGATACCAACATTTTACTTTGCTGTGGTCCAAATGCAGGGTGCATTCATGTTTGAACTTGTCTGCTTTCATGGAAAGAAGGAAGTTCAGTCTTGCAAATTGACCACTTACTTTGTGACTTATAAAGCAAGCAGATTTTTTTTAACTGTGAGTGCACTTCTAGAGGTACATGGTACTTACAACTCACAGCTGATGTATTTTGTATTTAGAGGCACAATCATTCTTTAGAAAAAAGCATAGAGGATTTTCTTATGCTGCTTTATCTTGGTGTTGAATAAGACAATGTTGGGATGAAAACTGCAGTGCTAAAGGTAAGCACTAAACAAGGTATGACTGAGATTTGAACCATAAAAAAGTGAAGTCAGAAGTATGTTTTCACAGCAGTTCATTATCTGCTCTCTGAAAAGTATGAAAAAGAAGGCACACAACCTACAGTTTGCAGACAATGATCTATTTTTGTTTAGAATAGTAGAAAAATGCTGTTTAAAGTATAAGTGAAGAGTACTTAATTTATTTTTCTTCTCACATGGCCAAGAGTAAAAGGCCAAGTTCAGCACATAGAGCAAAATATAAAACAATCTGTATCTGTTTCTACACTGATATCTGGAAGCAGTTTGTCACACATGGTGTCACAGTGCTACTCTGAAGGCAATACTACCCAAGGTGCTTTGACATCCAGTGCAAATCCCTTTTGACCTCATCCATTCGAGATCACATTCTGCAAAGAGGAAGATTTACTTACTTTGCACAGTTCAGAAGAGCAAAGTTCAAAGTTGACAGCCAGACTGGTATACTATGTGACAATTTATTAAGTTCAGTGATGATTTATTATCAGCTGACGATTTGGCCAACAGTGTTTGTTCTCTAAACTGCATGACTCTGACACATCATTTAAACACCAATTAATTTCTTCATTTAAGAAGTGTACACATCCTTTTTTTTTTTTTTTTTCCTACAGTCATATTATATTGAAATATAACCTATTTACCTGAGGCTAAATCACTGACTCACTGGATCAAATTGCTGGCATTGTATTAGATAACTCTTTTCATAAACAATTTGAGCACCAGAATAAGCACCCATTTTACTGAAAAGCTGGTTTTAATACTGATTAAGGCGTGAGTCTGTATTCTACTTTCCAGTCAAAATTTGTTGTAGTACCTGTTTTTATTATTATGACATTTATAGGTGCTGAATTTCAGCACACATCTAACAGTCTACTCATCAAAATCAACTCAGCTGGTTCTTCTTGTGTAATAAATCAATTCTCTACACTAATAACACTGTGTTCTTCCTTCTTTCAACAAATTTCCTCACACACTGCTGATACAGCCAATGCCATTAGTAAAACAGTTAAGTGGAATGACAGCAAAAATAATCTGCTGAGAAACATTATCAGCAAGCTACCTTAAAACTGGCACCACCATTTAACTGCTTTTTCTTTCTCTCCTTAACCCAGTTCTTTCTCCATCGTGTAGTTGTCCCTTTATTCTTTCAGCTTAATCTTTTTTCAAGGGGACACTGTATCAAACACATCTCTACCTAAGTGAGCTTTAGCATCTTTTCATTGCCTTCAAAATCAGCTGTCTTGAAAGACTGTTTGAAAAGGTACTGGAGAAAGCTTAAGCGAATTGAAAGATCATAGAAAAATTACACACTAGGAACTGGCAACTGCAAAGATATATACCACCTTGAGATAGAAGACTGAAACCTTGAGATCGCTACTGACTGCTCTCAGTGTCCTCAGCCCTTTGCAAGATATAAAGTCATGTTGAAGTTTGCAATCTTAAAAAATCCAGCCATTCTATGAGCACTTCATCTTGTAAAACCAATGACAAAGAGCATGAAATTACTATCTCAGTTTACATGAAACAGCAAGAAAGAGTAATAATATTTAATACTTTCCTTGGTGGCAAGAAAAGTACTGCAAGTGGCATGGTAGTGGTGACAGAAAAAAAATGTGTTAAAAGAAGACCAAAATAACAATTTGAGTATGAGGAAGAAAAGAATTTTGAAGATAAGGGAAAAGCCTAACTAAAATGAAAAGAGAATAAGACATCTTTTCAAGGAATAATGAGAAGTATGGGTAAAAGAGTATGAGTATGATACTAGCAATAAGGTATAAGTCTTTTAATGTGTCCTTTTAAAGATACATACATGATGAAAAAGCTGTGATCTAGGTTTCAAGAAACAGTCATGTGAACTTAGGTCAGCTATTTGATGTGTTTCTATAATGAAATTTAAAGTAGTCTAACTACTTGCTTCTCACCTGAAACACAGGGGTGGTTTTTAGCCTGCACTCCATCCTGTGCTGTTGTGACTATGTTTTCACAGTCACAAAGCTATGCTATATAAGAATCTGTCAGTACATCAACAATTCCTACCCTAATGCAAAGCAGTTCTATTTATCTTTTATTTCATTCCAGACAAACTCAGCTGGATGTCACAAGAACTCTGTAGTAGTAGAAGGGGAAAACAGATGCAGAACACAGACTTGTATCTGAACTCTTCCAAGCATCCAGTGCTGCCTTTTTGGTTATGACTTGCTGTGACTCATATACTACATTCATTCCAAGATACATTTAGTCACTGGCTGTGGTATAATCATTGTTTCAGTTCATTTCATCTTTAAATTTAATACCTACAAGGGGTGTAGGGGGAAGATGCATCAAAATGCTCTGATAAATTGTTATTGTAAGAAGTAAAGAATCAATAGGATGTCTGAGAAATATGTCTGAGAAAGTAAAGTAGTCTCTTTATAATGCAAAAAGCTCTTTAACAGTTAAATTTTGCAAGAGGCTGTCATGGAAATTGAGGCAATAGAAATTTCTACTGTGGTTTAAAACCTGCTATGAAGAATAACATAGGCTGGAAATATTTCATGTTTGAAAGCAACCAAAAGCACTTTCAACCTGTGTAGCCGTCTCTGATTTTGCAGTGATTCCCCTCAAAAGTTTAGTGTCTTTACAATCAAATGTTCCTGTTTTTAAAACCTTTCTTCTTTTAGCGTGAGAAAGTCTCTGAGTAATAGGAGAAATGACAAAATAAGTGATACTGAAAAGAAGCTGGTGCAATTAGTTATTCATGAGAGTTGTCCAACACGCTGCATAAACCACACTGAAAAAAACAGAGCAAAGCTCAAATTACAGTAACCTTACAATGACAACAATAACCAACACAGTTTTGAAACACAAATGTGAACTCCTCTACCGAGTTTTTTTTCCCATAAAATTGGAATCTGTCGGTGTGTTGGAATGTGCACTCAGTGCACTGCAAAAGAGCTTGAGAACCTTCTCAGACAATGGCTTGAAGTCTTCTGCAACAGTCAAGGAGAGACAATAAGAGATGGCAGAATTAGATAGATTTCAGAGGTTGCAATCAAACTGGAGAACTTCAGTCTAAAGGCCTGCTACTATCAGATGAGCCTCCAAGGTGAAACCTGACCACAGTGGATTTGCATTCACAACCAAAATAAAATGGTTCAGTCTGGTGCTGTACAGAGATCCCAGAACCTGACTCCTCTGTTTTCCACATCAGTGTGACAGACAGCACATACTCCTGGTTTCCTGAGCTCTGCTCTTTCTGGCTAACAGAAAAAAAAATTGTGTTGTTTACCAGAGTCAACTCAGTTGTGAAGAACATGACTGAAAATGAGATGTTATTTACAATAAATATATGACCTTTCATTTCATCTCTCTTATGTGCAATGAAATAGTTAACAATGCTGACATTTAATTACCGTCCCATAGTTAGCACTGCACCAAGATGAGCTCCATAGCTCACATCTCTTGTTCTCTGCAGGCCCACAGAGATTGAGGCCTTGCTGCACTAATTATCCCCTTTTCTACCCACAGCAAGCTGTCAGTTCAGCTCAACTGTAAGATGATATTTCACCTCGAGAGCTGTAGCTCTGCAATGTTAATTAACTGGATAGTTTCAGAGCCTTTGAGTAGAAAAATGCTGATGTGGATGCCATATATCTGCCGTAATGCACTGGTTATAAACCAATTGGTTATCACAGAGGAAACAGCAGCAAATGACTTTTGGCCACTTTTCAGCATGAAAAGACCATTCCAGAAAACAGTGATGTGGTGAGAGGTCTGAATTAAAACTTGCAGCACTAAACATTTTCTCTTTAACAGAAATGGAATACTGTGATCTGTGATGGTTTTTGGCAGGGAGAGAACTAATTTTCTTTATAGTGGTTTCCATGGAGCTGGATTTGTGCTGGAATCTGTGTTGACATCACAGGGATGTTTTGAGCAATGCTTACAAAGAGCCAAGGCCTTTTCCGATTCTCCCATCACCACTGAGTGGACAGCGGTCCAAAAGAGCTGGGAGGGAACACAGCCGGGACAGCTGACTGCAGCTGGTCATAGGGATATTTCAGACCATGTGGCATCATGGTCAGTACATAAAACTAGGGGAAGAACAAAGAAGGGATGCTTGGAGCTACGATGTTTGTCTTCCCAAGTCACCACTGTGCCTGATACAGTCCTGCTTTCCTGGAAATGGCTGAACATCCAGCTGCCCTTGGGATGTTTTGTTTTTCTTGTGTGATAGCTTTTGCTTTACTTATTAACCTGGGAGTTTTCTCACTTTTCTGCTTCTCTTCCCATCCCACTGTAGGGAAAGTCTGTGAGAGTGAGCCTGTGGCTGTGTGGGGCTTTGTTGCCAGCTGGGATTAAACCACAAGAGACACTTCAGTTTGTTTAGTTTTCCTGCAGAGTAGACATACAGCCTCTAGGTTTAGTGAAATTCCCAGAGGAAAGGGGAGATTGCATCCTCCCTCAGAGCTGCTGAGTACATATCCAAGAGCACAGGCTGGGGCAGGCAACATAAGGAGGACAAAGAAAGCAGATCAGAAGACCTTGGCAAAGTGCTTGATTGTAGCAGACCCACAAGAAGTCATGGAAGTGAGGGAAAAGGAGCTCAGATGTGATCATGTAAAAAATGTGCAACCTGACAAGTCAGCAAAAGCATGTGGAGTGGAAAAGAGGACTGAGAGAAAGAACCTGTTCTTTAGGGGTAGAAGGAGCAGAGAAGATTTATTTTCATGTCTTTTACTTTCATGAGTAAAGCCCCAATTCTGTGTCCCCTTCAGACCTGTCACTTTATGGTGTATTGATTGATGTTCTGATAAAATAGACTTTTAGATACTTAGATGGCTTTTGGTATGCTCATTAGAAAGAGAAAGCAGAAAATATCCAACTTCAGCCCAATGAGAGGTCTTACCATCTTCAAAGTGGTGGAAATGCCAAGGCTGACCAGGAAGGATAGGATAGGATAGGGATGATGATAATTTCTATTTAAAGAACTGCTTTTGTGCTTGGGGATCCCATAGATATTTACATAATGACTTCTGGGAATATACATTTTGGATTGCTTCTGAATAAAGCTAACTCTGTGGTAAGAAGTAGCGAGTTTTGACATTTCCCAAGATTATATTTTACTTTGAAATAGAAAGTTCATCAGAAACTTCCATGGAAATGGATCACATTATTCTTCATGGTTTGGAAGTTCCCAATTATGTATTACCCAGGCCCAGTCCTAGTTTGCTTGTGAGTCACTTCAAAGTCACTTCAGAAACACAAATTAACCAAACCTTGAAGGAGTTTTCGGCAGGCACATTCTTTGGTAAAAGAAATCAAAAGATCATGCTTCTAGCAGCATGTACCAAAAAAAAAAAAAGCAAGTCAAGAAAGAAAATTCACAATTAATGTTTACACTAATGCTGCTTACCTGCACTCTAGCAGTAAAAGAGGGCAGTAAAGTCAGGATAGTTTAACCTTTTCTATTAATAAGACCTCTGCGCAAAAGTATGAAGGTATGTGGATAGGATGAGCAAGAAGATTTTTTACTAATTAATGTGTAATCTGGGGAAAATTCTTGTCATACTTAAAGTCTTCTGAATCAATAACAAGATACAGGGGATTTCATAAGCCTTCTACAAATTTTCTATAAACCTAAAATTTTATTTAAAGTTGATTCAGCAGATTTTAAGCTTTCTGATGTGGTTTCTTATTTGAAGTGAATGGTACCCGATTTATTCAGAGGAGAATATGACACAAAGGCATAGCAAAATGCACCACTTTCACTGCCTCTTTCTTTACAGCCTTGAAGCATGAAAACCCATTGTGTTGGGGAATTTTGCATTGCAATGAGCTGCTTGGGAGATGCTGAGTTGAAAGTCAAATAAAATGCTGCTGCTTTAATATGTAAATGAGAGTGAACGCAGTTCAATATGCATAACACTGTCGTTCTTGCTCAACATTTGCAAACATTATCCAAAAAACCCCCAGCTCCAACACACAGGCGGTTTGAGTGCTTAGGTTTGCTTAGTCATTTTCAGACGAGGTCAGGCATACTCTGCATGATTTGGAGCTCTGAGGCTCTCAGCGATGTTAAACTGGGAGTGGAAACACTTTGTTGTACAGTTCTCACAGGCGCTCCTTGAACTCACCCAAAAGCTATCACTAGACAAAAGGCTTCTTTCGGTTCCGCTCCTGGTAAAATCATCTGAGTTTAAAACACACACCTCACATTTTCTTGAAATGCAATTGAGGAGGAAAATACTTGTAAATTAAAAACACCTCCAGAGTAATAATGCATCACAGAATACTCTTAACAGCTGAAGTGTCTTCACCCAAAGGATATAAATGCTCAAAATGAAAATGCAAAAACATTTGAAAGAATATATAAGAAGTTAAAATGCAGTGAAGTGTGTTCATTTTGCAAGTCAGAAATAATTTCTATAGAAAACAGTCAAATAAAACTGAAAGGAGTTGAGTTGGAATGGTTCATTCACCTAGATTCAAGAAGACAATGAGATTTCAGACAATATTAGTAAGGTAAAACCAAGTGTAGTTTTCTCAAAGAGGCTAATAGAAATTATTTGACTAGTTACTTAAAGTTGATGCTCTTCTTATAGTAGTGTGAATGTTTAAGAACTGGGCTTCGCAATGTGCTGGACAGCAGAAATAATATAATTCCAGATCTGGGTAGGGAGTAGTGAAACCCAACAAAGTCAGATCTTGTACCATGGAGGAAGACTGACAAGGGTTTGACTAATTCATGCAAAAATTGAATCTTCTAATTAATTGCATATTCCAAATGTACTTTCAATTGATGCTTTAGTGTATTTGCTTGTAAGCTTTGGGGAGGGGGTTAGTATTTTTTAAGAACTTGTGAAAAACTTATTTGTCAGTACCAATCAGATTGGTTAACTTGAGCCCTCTGCCCAGATTAATGCAGGTTTTGAAAGTAGTACTCTGATTTTCTCCTCACATACAGCTTTCAGACTAAAACCATTACTCAGCCAAAGGAAAGAGCAACTTGTGTCCCACCAGTGACACAGAGAACTGAGAGATCAGTGGTTTACTGTTCCAAAGTTTAATGGCCACCTACTAAAAGAGGAAATGAGTGAAGTGCTAAATAGAGGTTTGTTTGGACTACAGCTATGGGTATTATTCCTATAAACCCATTAATTGTGAAGTTTCATTCACAAACATTGTGAAATCAAGGGATTGCTTGCTTTTAACTTCAGCAGAAGCCAGAGGACACAAAAGTCCCATTCCTTCAGCTACTCTTCACACTGGATTATAACCTCACTCTTTCTTTCTCTCTTTTTTCCTCTCAGTCTCACAAGTGCCTCACAAAAGAGGCTGCCTTTGTACATGTAGGCAACACTAATGCACGTATAAGAAAACCCTGAGACATGAGGCAAAATCCTTCCCTCCTACACAGAGCAACAGCAGTGTTATGTGCACCTATGTAACGCCTGAGAGGTGCAGACAAGGCCTTTGCACACAGTATTGGATTTTCACATGAATGCAGAAGTAAAAGTTTATTTTGTTGGCAGCAACAGTTACAGAGAAAAGCCACTGTCATGTGGCCAGAGGCAATAGTCATATTTCTGTATTTTAGGTCCTGTGAGCAACCCACAGGAGGATTTGCTCATACAAGGAGAGTCTTTGGATGTGGAAATGCTGAAGACAATGGACAGGAGTAGAGTCCTCCTCCAGTATCCAGTCTTACCCACTAAGATGACCCTCAGTGGGAAATTGGTATTGCAAGCGTTGGCTCTGATAATCCGTAGCTGATAATCCATAACCCACAGCTGTAGTAAGAGATGACAGATAAGGTGCAGATGAGCACAGCCATGGCCTCACACTTGTTTGTAGCACTGCAGACATTTCCCTGTGAAGTCCAGACCACAACTCCTGGGCTCCTCCTCACACATTCTCTTTTTTTCTCCTCAGGGAACAACTCCTCAGTGTTAGTGATGACTGTAGGTAACAGCTCAGTTCTCACCTGCCCTCTCAGAGGAAATATGACTATGCTAAAATGGACAATAACCCCCAAGGCTGGAGGCCCTTGCACCTTGGTATACAGGGTTGATACAAACAGGACACACAGAACAAACTGCAGTGACAACATAGACTGGACATTCCAAGCAGGTCTGCCTCCTGCCCTTGAGATACGGCAAGTGGGAATCGCCCAGGAGGGAAATTACAGCTGCGAAATGGCAACAACGGAAGGGAATTTCCACAACACCTACCACCTGACCGTGCTGGGTAAGGAATGTGAAAAGGTGCAGCTGTTTTTTTTAAACTAAGGAGTGTAGGGTTTGATTAGATATTCAGTATTGTGAGGGTAGTGAGGCACTGGAACACTGATTGTCCAGAGAAGCTGTAGAAATCCCAGTGTTAAAGGCCAGGTTGGGTGAGACTTGAAGCAACCCAGTCTTGTGGAAGTTGTCCCTTTGCGTGGCAGGGTGGTTGGAACTAGAGGATCTTTAAGGTCCCTTCCAACCTAAGCCATTCTGTGATTCTTGCTGGGATAAACTCATGCCTTTCATTGGGAGTATCTCTGTGTCTCCTTTCTCCTTATTCCCCATAACTCTTCTTCCTTTTGCTGGTCCCTTTTCCCACTGTCTAGTTAGAAATGACAGATGTGAAGCAATTTCCCATGTACACACAGAGGATATGAGCTCATCACAGAGCTGTGATGAGGCTCAGCTGGATGGGGGAAGAGCTGTGCAAAAGGGAAAAAGAGAGTGGTTCTTCCTCTCTTGTGTTTTGTACCCGCATTGCTGCGATGGGATGGGATGGGATGGGATGGGATGGGATGGGATGGGATGGGATGGGATGGGATGGGATGGGATGGGATGGGATGGGATGGGATGGGATGGGATGGGATGGGATGGGATGGGATGGGATGGGATGGGATGGGATGGGATGGGATGGGATGGGATGGGATGGGATGGGATGGGGTGGGGTGGGATGGGGTGGGGTGGGGTGGGGTGGGGTGGGGTGGGATGGGATGGGACGGGACCTCCAGCCTTATTCTCCTCTTTTCACTGGGTTCAGTTTGGGTTCATTTTGGGTGGAGAACAAGAGCAGCTCAGCCCAGCTGTGCCAGAGTAACTCCATGCATGTCCCCTTGCTGGTGCTCTGCAGCCCCCCCGAGGCTGAGCCTGTCCTGTGATGAGCAGGGCAGCCCCGTGTGCGAGGCAGCGGTGGGGAAGCCGCCGGCTCAGCTCTCGTGGCTCCCAGAGGGCAGCTCCCCTCCAGAGGAGAAGTGCCACGACAACGGGACAGTGACTGTTCTCAGCAAGTTCATGGTGTGTAGTCCCAATGTCACCAATGTGACCACCTGCATGGTGTCCCACCCAGCTGGGAACTGGAGCCAGTCCATAGCCTGCTGTCCCTCAGGTGAGCTTCCCTTTTTACGTTCTGTGATCAAACTCCTGTTCAGCTTACTCAGCTCTTGTTCTGTCTGGGAAGGAGTCTCTAAAAGATACAGAAACCCTCAGTGAAGCTCTATAAAGACAAGAGTATCATCCCTGATTGCCTTTGCCCTGATATATATATATATATATATATATATATATATATAGGTATGGTAGTATTCTTTTGGTAGTGGAAATGCTTTTGGAAACAGAGAGAAAGCAGTCATGATCTTTGTGTTCAAATAATCATTTGGAATGTGAATATTAGGATTTTTTTTTTGAATGCAAGTTTTACTGTCATGGAAGAGAGATGGAGAGCCAAGTCTCGAGTGGCTAGTAGAATAGAATACATTTCTTCATTCCAAGTTGTGAAGGTCTGACACTGTAATGACCCTTGGGTTCTAGTCTTTGGTTTTCTGGTTGCTTTTGAGAATATATACGACTAATGAGAAATGATGAGTCCTTGAGAGGAACTCAGGTGTGGCTTAATGAAAATATACTATGAGTGGCCACTTTGAGATTTGTGGAATCTACTTTTGCCTCTGACACAGACTCCATTTGTGTTTCTCAGCAGTTTCATTACTAAGTTTCCCTTCTGCTGAAGGACATTCTATTTGTTTTACAAGCATGCTGAAAATGCATGTATGTGCTAAATAAACTTTAATCTTCTACTGAAATAATACAGGAACTGAGAAGAAGATATAACTGAGACTGTCTCTTTATGTTTAGAGAAAACCAACACCAACGTTTTCCTGTATGCCTGCATCATTACTTGTGTTCTGATCAGTATCACCTTGTTGGCTGTCATTTGCTATTTCAAGCTCTACAGTGGTAGGTATGTATGTATGCTAAGGTGCTAAGGAAAAATTGTCTAGTGATAGAAGAAATTTTAAAGTACTCTTTGTGTCTTGAAATCATATGATTCTGTCAGTCTGTGCTGCTTTAAATAACCAAATTAGCTACATCAAATATTTCTGTACCTCATACACTATGCACTGTGCCTTGCACACATCTTCACAGAATAATGCCCTTGAGTAAAATTTAAATGGGAAGAAGTTGGCCAAGGACCCTGATTGCATTGCCTCCTAAAGGGAAACACTTCATTCTGATAGGAATCTGTGAGGGTAAATCTTCTTCAGATACTGTCATAGTCTGCCAGTATCTCTCTCAGTTAGATCAGGGCATTGGTTCTGCTGCCTAATAAGTTCCACTAAATTCCAGAGGACAGAGCAATGCCAGCCTGCCATACGAACAAAAGGGACAGTAGATTCTATCTGTATTTATTAAAAATTTCCTTCAGTGAAGCTGGGCTCTAGTCCCTTTAAGATTTCCTATGAAGAAAAAAAAGTAGTTCTGAGGAATAGCTATATAAATAATTTGTGGAGTGAAGGCTGAATTAGCACCTGTACTGAAAATCTCACCTAGGTTCCTCATTTGCCTGTTACAAACTGTTTTTCTCTCAGACCTCTTCCCTCAAAGGTGAAGAATTAGATCAATAGCATTTCACTAACTGCAAAATGTATATCGTTACAGAGGGCTTTGATTCTAATCTGCTTCCATTTTATGTATAAGCACCCACAAACATAAGAAAAGACCTCTTAAGAAAGGTAGGGTGATATAATTTCAGGATCAAAAGTCAAGGTGAGAGAGACATGAGGTTTTACTCTTAAAAAAAGAGAAATGTTTCATAAACTTTTGATCAAAGAAACCAAACTGTGATCCAGCCAAACATGTTTTAATACTTTTCTTTTTTCACAGACCATGCCACAAAACCAAACCTCCTGAAATTGCTCCTATACATTCCCAACAGGTAAGGAGAATGATGCAAATTAGGCCATCACCAAATCATGGTGATTCTGGTAGCCCTGGAAACATGATCAGTGAAAGGAAAACATTAGATTTTTACTCTCAGCTTTCAGCAAGCACTACTGTGTCTGATATATTTTATCTTGGCTCTTTATAGGAGGAAGTGAAGCTTATCTTCACCATAACTTTGACTTGGAGCAAACACCAGAGATGTGTTCCAGCAGCAAACACTTGACTAAAGCCATCCTTTAATTTTAACAAGGAGTCAGTCCCACTACATTTCCCTTCTTATATCAGATACTCTGACCACAACTGCTCTCCAAATAATAGTCAAGAAGGGAGACAATAGCATGGGTTGGAGGATATTAAGAAAACTATTAGTGAACAAGAAGATTAAGCAACAAGATTAACAGACACCAAGAGAAAAAGAATATCCCTTTTGGTGTCCAGAATGAAAATTGTATGAATTTTGAAGGCCACTTTTTATCTTGAATGGTCAATCCACAATCAAAGAAAAAATCATAGTCAAGACATTGGAAGGAGAACTTAGCTGCAAACTGGGAGATATTTTTGTATATCCTATGTTGTTAGAAGCTTCCTGTGTAGCTGAGCAATTCACTTCTAAGCTCTGTCTCCGTTCTCTGCTGCCAAATCCAAATAACAGCATCTCTACGCAGACAAGATGTGTTACTATTATATTGGATCTGTGCATCTTCATTATACATTAGACTCAAATTCTGTCATCAACTTTAAAAGATGCTTCAGTTTCTGGAGAGACTTAGTCAATTCTATTTATTAGTATTCCTGCTGTTCTGCTGTCCTCCCTCCCAGCTGTTGTTGGCAGACATAGTTGCATTTATGTAAAATAATTGTTCACGTACCAGCGTTTTTGCTGTCATGTCATGGGACTTCCATCAGCATGTCTGTAGACTGAAAGTGCAGACTGATTAGAAATGAATCAAGGTCAAAAATCCAGCATATTATTTGCTCTTTCTAGAGAATTAGACCCTAATAAAATTTTTTTCAGGCCAACAAAAGTGGAATAGAAAGGAAGATAAAGGAGGAAAGTGAAACAATATCCAAATCTTTGCTAGAAACAGCAATCTACATTCCTTGGTAGAAAAAGAAATAGAGAGGTCTTTTTTCTTTAGTTGAAGAGGAGTAAATATGAGAGCACTATTTCCCAGTTATTTTCTTCAGTCCAGATGAAAGATTTGCAGAGTCTTGCCAAGCTATACTCCTCCTTGTATTCACAGTTTTTGGTTTTGTTTTGCTAGGATGACACAATGGAAGTGGAACCTTATACTACTTATGTGCAGAAGGAAAATGTAATTTACAACTCAGTGTCTGATCTGACAGTGGGGCAGAATCTTCCACAAGACCTGTGTCCAGGAAGGTGAATGATTCAACAACACCAGAAAAGGAAAGAAATTCTTTATAGAAGACTGGTTATAGAAAGAAACTTCTCAGAGGATTTGTTCAGATGTTGGGGCAGCATAGGTCTGTTCAAAAACCTCTGCTTGCTGATGAGTCCATAGTTCTTTTTTTTCTCCCTGTTTTACTTTCCTCCTTGGGAAAATGTGTTATTCCTTGGGAAGATGTGACTGACCACACACCATAGTGTTTCCTGGAAAAGAAGTTGTGACCAGTCTTCCCTTCGTTGTTGTTGCCTTGGGATGATAGTCCTGTCAGTCACTTGTAGTTGTTACTTTGATACACTTGACACTATGATGTACACATTTGGGAGACCGGAGTGTTCTGTCTGAACTGAAAAAAAACCCCACGAGCAGCCACTTTTTTCTAATACATGTATTAGTAACATATGACCTGTTGACCTACTGATCGTCACTGAATACCTCAAATAGCAGAAGATAATGGTAGGGAAGACTTACTCTGAAAATGGAAATAAGGGATAAATTTAGAAGGTCATCCACTAAGAAGGAGACTGCACTAGCATGACTAATTGACTTGTTAGGTTCCTATCCAGTATTTCGAGATGCCATTATGGGGTGTCATCCAGAACAATCTGGACAAGGTTGGTAATGGCAATCTCATGAGATTTAACAAGACCAAGTGCAAGGTGCTACACCTGTGTTAGGACAACCCCTAGTATCAATAGTGACTGGGGCATGAAAAGATTGAGAACAGCCCTGCTGAGAAGGACTTGGGGTGGATGAGAGGCTGGCCATGACCCAGCAAAGTGCACTTGCATCCCAGAAAACCAAACGTGTCCTGGGCTGCATCCAAAGCAGTGTGGCCAGCAGGGGATGGAAGGGATTCTGCTCTTCTGCTCTGCTCTTGTGAGACTGCACCTGCAGTGCTGCACCCAGCTCTGGAGTCCCCTGCACAAGCAGGACATGGACCTGTTGGAGCAGATCCAGAGGAGGCCATTGATATGATTAGAGGGATGGAACACCTGTCCTATGAGGAAAGGCTGAGACAGTTGGGATTGTTCAGCCTGGAAAAGAGAAGGCTTTGGGGTGACTGAATTGTGGCCTTCCACTAGAGAAGAGAACCTGCAAGAAAGACAGAAATGGACTTTTACAAGAGCATGCAGTGACAGGGCAGCAGGGAATGGATTCACACTGAAACAGAGTAGGTTTAGATATTAGGAGGAAATTCTTTCCTTTGAGGGTGGTGAGACACTGGAGCAGGTTGCACAGAGAGGTTGTGGATGCCCCACCCCTTGAAGTGTTCAAGGACAGGTTGGATGGAGCTCTGAGCAACCTGGTCTAGTGAAAGGTGAATGTGCCAGTGCCAGGGGGTGGACCTTAATGATCTTTGAGATCCCTTCCAACCCAAACCACTCTATGATTTTGTGATTTCCACTAAATATGTTCATTCTGTGTTTCAGATCACTGGTATGATTATTTTTCTATAAGATTCCATGAAGATATGGTGTTCTTCTCTTTCTAAAGAGTATAAGCATTAAGATATTGTAAAATACTTACGTTACTCAAAACCCATAGGCTACTTTAACCAAAAACAAACATAAAATATTTCATAAAACAAAACAAATACAAATATATCTTCTATAAATGTGCAATAATGTTTGCAAAAAAAAATAAAATGTTTGCTAATTGTAGTAATATTTATTTTTACTACCAAAACTGAAATTTTGTTTCATTTGTACGTCTAGATATTTTACTGATGTTCTTTTCAATGTACTTGCAAGTTCACTTTTTTTGTATGCAAATTAGCTTATGTATCTTATTGTGTCTCATTTTGAGGTGACTTATTCTCACCTTCACAAAATATCCCTTGGGATAAGCAAAATTAATTTTCCTCTATATAGTAGCAGTTCTCAATTTTTTTTGATTGATGCCTTTCTAGCTAAAGTATGAACAGTAAGTGTAAAGAAATATGTTTATAAGCCTCTGTTGACTACCTCTTATTTCAGTATTTAAAAGACTGGGTAAGTGGTCTGATTGCAACATCAGAAGAACTGGATTTTTCCTTTAGATTTAGAAATATCTATTGACACACATTGTTAGAGCTTTCTTTTGAGCTAAGCTCTCAAGGACTATGACACAGTGCTTGGAAAACAGAATTCTAAACTGACTGCAGTTCCTAAATGTATTACTCACATGAACTGATACAGTTGGTTATTTACTCTCACTCTAGCAGCTATCAAACAGCCGCTCTTGTCCAGGTGCTCTCTGCAAGCAAGTATTGCTTTTCTCCGTTTCTGCACGTCATTTTAGAGTGGAAGGGATCAAAGCTGAATATCAAGCAGCTACAAACAAATTTTAAAGGAACTTCAGTTTCCAGTGACTGACCAAGGAAGAGAGCCAGTCAACACAGGCATAATCCTCTGAAATTCCTCACTTAAAATTCTTATACTGACCAGTGATCTTTTTTTCCTACTCAAAAACAGAGTGCCATCACTTCTTAAGACTTTTTTTTTCTGTGGGCTGGAAAGTGTTTTATGTTGTTCAGTGTTCATAAATGGGGTTCATCAGCTCTTGAAGGTAAATTATCACCAGTTTACAAGCAAGATATATTATATTTACAGAAGTGTATCACCTGCTAACCTACTGTCTAGCTGTAGGGTTTTATCATCCTTCACAGGCCTATCACACTGGGCTAAATCACATAAGTTCCAGACCTGGACATTCCTAAGTTGCTAATTGGTTGATTATTTTCTTTGTCCTTTACTTTGTTACACATTCAGACCTGCTATGGGCAGAGAATAGAATTTTATTTTGTGACTATGATAAATAATATTGAGTTAAGAATCTTATGTATACACACATATATACACATGCACAGAATTCTAAAGCAGAGAGTCCCTTTGTGCACTCCTCTTTCTCCCTCAAGGTGCTTGCTGCTCCTCTGTGCACTGTGCTGCTGCTGTGGTGCAGACATCCTCCACACAAAAGTGCTGTGTTGGCTGATTCTTAGCAGTCAGGCCAGTCTGCCCTCTAAACTCCCCAGGATGTTGCACAGTCACAGGAAGAAAGTCAGCAGCTTTTCAGCTCATCCCGTACAGAAAGGTTTTGGCTTTCACCACTTTTACCAATGCTCTATCTCATGCCGCAACACTGAATTTTGGTAGATTTGCATCTTGCACTTTTACTGCTCTATTTTATCTTCACACACATTTTTCAGTCTCCTGACAGGTTATAACTGCCATTCCTGCTCTAAACAAGCAGTTAATGCTCACAGTTATCTTATGACTGTACAGAGTCCCGAGCACCCAGCTCGCACGCGCAACACAGCTGTGAGCTGATTCTCTGCTGCTGTGCATCCACAGGGCAGCTGCTCACCTCTTCTTTAGGATGGCAGTGGACTACTGAAAAATGGATGCACTACAAATCCTGAGGCTGAACATAGCTTCTGTACATGCATCAATTTCTGTGTCTCTAACTGGAAATTGTTTCACAGGAACAAAGTCAAGCCCTTCATCACCGCGACAACATCTAAGATTTGGTTAGATTGCAAATATCAACTGAAAGGTCATTATATCCTCACTTACCTGCTTCAAACAGCTTTCCTAATAACAGAGTCCAGTAAAAGTGGTTTTCAGAACATTACCCTGTCTCTGAATCCCAACTACTTGCAGGATTTACAATTATGTTCTCCTGCCAATATCACCTACTCATATTCGAGGGTTCACTACTTACAGCCTTGTTTATAACCCTGCTTTCCCACTGTAACCCTTTGGTTCAGTCTGTGACTGCTGATCTACTGCTCAGCTTAAATTCAGTTATGAATTAAAATAACCTGAGGATCTTCTATGTTTATATTCTTGGCTACAGAAATTTAAGTTTTCCTGTTAGAGCTGGGTGACTTTCACATGAGCATTCTCTCTCTAGATGTAGCAGGGGTTTCTTCACACAAATCTAAAGAATAAGTGTACTTATGCAAGTCTTGAGAATGAGTGTATAGGTAAGGGAATTCTAAATATTTTTTTTCAAAACCCCCAGTTTATTAAAATGAAATTTTAAAAATCTAAAACCTCTAGCAGAATAAAAACTGAATCAAATTTAATTGGTGGGGAAATAAAACTGTACAGTGCATTTAGTCATAACTAGAAAGAAAGATAAAAAATACATTTGCACAGAAGTTATGCAGTCAGATCAAAACCTGTTCACAGAAAATGCTAAGTGAAGAATATTCACTACTAAATTTATTTCATAATGAATATGTAAGAAAGGCTTCCACAGCCTAACTTTTTCTCCCTTGCATTCACCATTGAGAAATCTTTTCTCTCTGATGGACTAAAGATGACAGCTATTTTTGACCATGTAAGTTTAAAAATAATCTACCATATGCTTTTTGTCATTTACCTCAGATAGCACTGTCCTCAGTCAGGAAGCTGCAGAAACATCTAGAAAGGTTTTTATTTTTATTCAATATCTTTGCTCATAATTTTTATTCAATATCTTTGCTGAACATCTTCAATGATATCTGCTCAATAGCAATTACATTCTTAAGTGTGTGGGCATATTGAAAATATTTCTAATTACATAAAGACTGTCTTGTCATTTCCTTGTGGTCCCCATCATCTGCCTCTGTCAGCATTGCCTTTCAATATGTGCTTAAAACTTTAAGCATTACAAGGCAGATGATATCTTGAAGTTCTGAGTTCGCAAAGCACCTTGAATAAAGGGATCCTAATCCAAAACTAGGGATTCACCACCTATTGAAAATACAATTATAAGCAGAATCTGGAAGCCAAACTGGACAGGAAGCTTGTTTGCTAAGTATTATGATTTATACTAACTAATTCACTCCAGGAGATAGTGTTTGCATAAAAGCTTCCTTGCTCATCAGCACAGATGAATTTCTCCATTTAAAAAAATCTGAGAATCACACCTGCTTCTGTCAACAGTATTACAGGTACTACATGCAAGTGCTAATGCTATGGAGTAATGTTCCAGCCTGAGTCATCAAACTCATAACACTGCATTTTACTCTGCCAATTTTCCCTTTTTGTCCGAGCATATTCTTATGTACCAGTCCTGCTGTTCTTCACATTTATTCACTGAACTCCAATAGTCATTATGTAGGTGTAGCATTACCTTTACCAATCAGCAGCTGCAAAACACTGGTACACAAAGAAGCTCAAAGCGAGGAGATGCACACAGTCAGCTTTATTCTGATAGCATCAACATGCTCTTGTTACAGGGTAGTTGAGACTGACCTGTAAAATGACTGTAGCAGGATAACTATTGGGAGGTTATTTTGGTGGCCTATTTTAGCTTCAGTTATCTTATCTTTAGCCTCCCACAGCTGTTCAGTAAGGCAAAAGTGATATGCCATTGTGGTAAACTGTGGGAGAGAGGGGAAAAAGGGACTTCACAGCGTTGCTGCACCAAGTTATAAATTTGTTTATGAAAGAGTCTGAGCTTTTTCACTTTACCTCAAAGCCTTTCAGACACTTTTTTTTTTTTTTTTCTACCTTAGTATTTTCAAGTATACTTCAGTACATTTCATCCTGGGTATAAGAAATACTTTGGCTATATCCAAAAGAAAACAGTAATTCAGGAACAGATTATGACCACTAGATGACAGTTTTACCTCACCCTATGAAAAGCTGCCAAAGAGAAGCATTAGTTCTCTTCATACTTTCGTATTAGATTTGGGATAGTAAGTAATTTTCCTACATTTCCTACATTTTCCTACATAGAGCTTCATTTGTGGCAGAATGTTCTCACAAAAATAAAAATAAAAGTAATTTTCTTGTGCATAACAACATTGAGAAATAAGGAAATTCAAAGGAAAACCAACAGAAATAACATACTGTACACCAAGAAATTAATTCACAAATCACTGGAGACTTCTCCATGATAAACACAACACTCAAATGCTCAGTGGTAAGTAGGTTCTGAGGGTAGAGAGAAAAGAGTAGAGAAAAATCAGTGGGATCTCTAGGGCTGGCATTGTAAAAGGCAAATGAGGGAGTGATTAATGAGACATCAAAGGACTGCAGCTATCACCAGGAGTTCCCTTCCTTTTTCAGCACTCCTGCTTCACACTGGAAAGGCTCATTCTCCTCCTCTTTATTTCATTTTGACTCTTCCCGTCCACCCTTATGGCTCCTTCACTGTGAGAACCAAATACTATTAAAAGTTTCCATCCCATCACAGTCACACCCCTTAATTCTCTTCACATTTCTAGTGAGTGACCACTTCATATCCTCAGTTCAATCCACCTCTCTCAGCACTCAGACCTCTCAATACTGAAATGCTGATAAAATGTTGGATGCTGCAAACAAAAAGCTCCTGTATCACCACATTCCAGATACACTGTGGCTCTCTGATGACACACACACTGGGCTATATAATGTGGAAAGCTGTTTTTCCAAACAGAAAGAAAACAGATGACGGGGCATAGATTGTGTGATCCATGGTGCTCCTTGGCATGCTGTTTCAGGAAAGGGAACCGGGTGGGTATGAGGTTCCAGCAAAGAACTGGGACATCTAGATTTGCTAGTCCTGTTGAAAGGTGAGACCAGCATAGATCTGCAGGAGAAACTTAGGGGAGGTTATATGGGGGTGGTTTACAGATGAACGACTGTAGTACCATGCTTTTTAGAAGTGTTTACTACTGGCTGGGTGCAGTGCACCTGCCTCTTTCCAGCTCTAGAACCTCTATTTGAGGAAAGCAACTCAGCACATTACAAGGTGAAATCTGATTGAGTGAATATCCAAACCATATGCTGCTGTAAATATAGGAACTGCCACAGCAGAGCAGCATGGGAGGTGACAAAAAACTGATTATTTAAAAATCATAATTTCCTTTACCTTGTTAATCCAATAGGGCTCATATAAGTAGACAGTCATGGCTCTCTGGGTTTAGTATCAGTATTTCAAGAGCAGTCCAGAATATTGTAGTAGATGCATAATATTGCCTTGCCTGTCATTA